TATACGGATGGAGGGGGGGCAGGAAAGGGTTAAAGATGGAGTTGGGAGCCTGTAATGTGAGTGTTTCACTCTCGGCTGTGTGCGGATTTAATGGACAGGAGATGTGATCTGGGCCTCCCCGGGGCCTCGTTTTATTTACTCCTAATGCAGGAGAGACACCCCCGGCCAGAAAGACGCTCCGACACTCCCGCTGTCAGCGACCAATCCTCACATCTCGGAGATCCTCTTCATTGCCTTGTGGTCATCAGTGGGCAAAGCATGATGGGACTTGTAGTTCACCTGTGTTGCTTTCTGGTCCAGCAGCCTTCCAATCTAATTTTGTGTGGAAAGTGCTCTATCTGGTCACGTGACTATAAAGTGTGGAAAGTGCTCTGTATCTGGTCACGTGACTATAAAGTGCGGAAAGTGCTCTGTATCTGGTCACGTGACTATAAAGTGCGGAAAGTGCTCTGTATCTGGTCACGTGACTATAAAGTGCGGAAAGTGCTCTGTATCTGGTCACGTGACTATGAAGTGTGGAAAGTGCTCTATCTGGTCACGTGACTATGAAGTGTGGACAGTGGTCTGTATCTGGTCACGTGACTATAAAGTGTGAAAAGTGCTCTGTATCTGGTCACGTGACTATGAAGTGTGAAAAGTGCTCTGTATCTGGTCACGTGACTATAAAGTGTGAAAAGTGCTCTATCTGGTCACGTGACTATGAAGTGTGGAAAGTGGTCTGTATCTGGTCACGTGACTATGAAGTGTGGAAAGTGCTCTATCTGGTCACGTGACTATGAAGTGTGGAAAGTGCTCTATCTGGTCACGTGACTATAAAGTGTGGAAAGTGCTCTATCTGGTCACGTGACTATGAAGTGTGGAAAGTGCTCTGTATCTGGTCACGTGACTATAAAGTGTGAAAAGTGCTCTGTATCTGGTCACGTGACTATGAAGTGTGGAAAGTGCTCTATCTGGTCACGTGACTATAAAGTGTGGAAAGTGCTCTATCTGGTCACGTGACTATGAAGTGTGGAAAGTGCTCTGTATCTGGTCACGTGACTATAAAGTGTGAAAAGTGCTCTGTATCTGGTCACGTGACTATGAAGTGTGGAAAGTGCTCTATCTGGTCACGTGACTATAAAGTGTGGAAAGTGCTCTATCTGGTCACGTGACTATGAAGTGTGGAAAGTGCTCTGTATCTGGTCACGTGACTATAAAGTGTGAAAAGTGCTCTGTATCTGGTCACGTGACTATGAAGTGTGGAAAGTGCTCTATCTGGTCACGTGACTATAAAGTGTGGAAAGTGCTCTATCTGGTCACGTGACTATGAAGTGTGGAAAGTGCTCTGTATCTGGTCACGTGACTATAAAGTGTGAAAAGTGCTCTGTATCTGGTCACGTGACTATGAAGTGTGGAAAGTGCTCTATCTGGTCACGTGACTATAAAGTGTGGAAAGTGCTCTATCTGGTCACGTGACTATGAAGTGTGGAAAGTGCTCTGTATCTGGTCACGTGACTATAAAGTGTGAAAAGTGCTCTGTATCTGGTCACGTGACTATGAAGTGTG